TTCCGCGCAATGGCAATTTGAGTCGGCGGAAGAAGAAAAAGTCACACGGGACCATATCTAGAGAGTACGGTGCTTGGTTGATGATAGTGGTGAAGTTTTTGGCTAAAAACTGAGACAAAACCAAAGCTGTCGTGGTGTCGTGGTGTGAACTCCACGAGTTTTTCTTCCATAAATCTGGCCTCTTTTTGCGAATGTCCTCACGCAAACGTCGATTGTTGTTTGGTGGGCATGTCAAATTCATAGAAACATATCTTATTACCAGTTATGATGCGTTCTATGAATGTAGGGTCACTATCTGCGTTGGAAATCATTTCTTTGGCTACATCACAACAAGGTGTTTTTTGAATGAAATTCAGCTTTTTATGTACCAGCCGAGAAGCGGTGAGTTTCAAACCAAAAACATCAGTTAAAATGTGTTCGGTCGATCCATATGAGATGCCCAACAACTCTCCAATCTCTCTAATCCGTTCACAACGATTTTCCAACACGATCTGCTTTGCCGATTCAATGTTTTCTTCAGTAACAGATGTTGTAGGGCGGCCAGGGATCTCATCATGGTCCAAGCTTGTACGACCGTCTTGGAATCTTTTAAAGCATTTGTATATTCGTGGTTGCGACACACAAATCACCAAAGGCCTTTTTTAACATTTTCAACGTTTCGGCACACTTGAATGCATTTTAAGTGTGAAAATATACGATGAAGAATAAAAACGGAGATGGCAATGTCAATAGTTTTTATTCTGATATAAAAACTTGTATGTTATATATATATTCTTTTATATATTGTTGTTATATTATTAAATAGTTTTGTTTTGTTTTTTTTATTACGATTGTTATCACAATAAAGCAAGTAATCATAAAAAATCATTAGGTTATGGGCTCAGAACACAGCCCACTGCGCAATAAATAAATAAGAAAAAGTTTTTTTAGTTGTCTCGTTGCAGCGTATAAAAATATTTTTGGTTATCAAAAATAACCTCGTTTTTGTGTTCATTGCAATTTTCGTGTTTCCAGTCATCATGGACAAGAAAGATAATAATTTTAGCGGTCACATTCTGAATGGATCGAATTATCGGTTATGGAACTTCCAAATCACAGCATATATGAAGGCAATGAAAAATATAGAGGTTCAAATCAGAGGAAAAGTTAAAAGAACTATACGAAAGAAATGAAAGAAGAGCTATAAATGCTATTATTCAATCATTGTGGCAGATTATGTTGCAAAAGTTAATCAATTAGCATCAGAAATTGAACAACAAGGTGAGAAATTGTCGGACAAATTGAAAAAGTATGTCCCAAATATAAAAATTTTGCAAACAAATACCAAAAAGATAGTGGCAAATGTAGTAAAGACAAAGATAAAAATGATTTATGTACCGTTGAATATAGTGACGAAAAAGAATCAAGCCCTTGGTATGCAGGCTCGGATGCGTCAAGTCATATGACGTTTCATCGTGAATGGTTTGCAGAAAAAATATGATGGCGGTAATGTGGTCGAAGTTGCTAACAACTGCAGTTTGAAAATAAGTAGAATAGGTACAGTATTGATTGATGCGAGAGTAAATAATCAGTGGGAGGTACGTAGAGAATGTACTTTATGTTTCGGATTTTAAACAAAATTTATTTTCAACAGCGGTTTTGACAGATGAAGGTGTCAAGATTCTAATCGATAATCTTGGATGCCAGATTATTGATAAATCAAACAATGTCGTTGCAGTTGGTAAGCGCTGTGAGTTGAATCAACTAAAAATTAATTTTCGTTTACACATAAACGGTCTGACAACAACACTGGCACAGACGTTTGGGTCACATAAACGTTGATTCAATTAAAAAAATTTGCAAAGATAGTTCAGCTGCTGGTATTAATTTGTCAGACAACGAAAATTTTTTTTTTGTGAAGATTGTCTGTATGGAAAATTGATAAGATCAACGCATAAACTGTCAATGGTGCGACAATCAGAGAAGTGTTTATGCACGTAGATCTATGTGAACCAATAGAGGAGATTGGAGTCGGAGGTATGCGTTATTTTATGTTAATTAAAGATGAAGTAACTTCATTCCGTCATACATATTTACTTAAATCGAAAGGTGAAGTATTTGACTGTTTAAATTCGTTCATTGGTATGGTTAAAAATATTTATGATACACGTATTAAACATTTTCAATTTGACAATGGTACTGAATTTGAAAATCATGAGGTCAAACATTTATTAAAGAATAAGGGTATTCTGATAGAATATATAACCGCTTATACTCCAGAACAAAATGGTAAAATTGAACGAGATAATCATACTGTGCAAGAAAGTGCAAGGACAATGTTAATTACAAGTGGATTACCGAAAATGTTATGACCAGAAACAGTGCGTACAGTTACATATTTATTGAATCGCACTACAAACAGCAAATGTATTGGTACAACACCATATGAAAAATGGTTCGGTAAAAAACCATATTTTGGTCACGTTAAAATTTTTGGAACAGAGTGCTTTATGTAAGTCCCGCAACAAGTGGACAAAAGAAATGGGATTTAAAAGCTAGAAAAGTGTTTTTAGTTGGATACGAAGCAACAATTAAAAACTTTCGGTTGTACGGTCCACATAGTAAAAAAGCTTTGCTTAGTTGTGACGTGCGTTTTAACGAAACAAAGCCAATGAAATATGTGATTAAAGAAGAAAGTGATGATGAAAACGGAATCATACTCGAAAAAGACAACAAACATGAAACACTGCAACAAGAGAATGTCATAATCGAGGAAAGTGAAAAATTCAGTAAAGACGTTAGAGACCATGATCAATCCAACAAGAAGGACCTCATGGATGATGAGGTTGACAGAAGTAATTCAAGGTATGAGATTCGTCCTAAAATCAATAAGCCGCAACGTTATGTTGAAACTGGTTACTCAGCAATTGTATTTGCACCAAAAACTTATGAAGAAGCAATACAATCAACAGAGGCGCAGCAATGAAAGTGTGCGATGGACGATGAATTTGATTCGTTGATTAAAAACCGTAGTTGGATTCTAGTTAATCCACCCAAAGAACATAAATGATTGATAATCGTTGGGTGCTCAAAATAAAAGAGAATACTTATGGAACGGTCAATTTTCAAAGCAAGATTAGTAGTTCGTGGTTTCACACAACAATATGGAGTGGATTATGAGAAAACTTTCAGTTCTGTCGTGAAACTTACACCAGTTCGTGCAATATTATCAGTAGCAGCCATAAATAATATGCAATTGAAACAGTTTGATATAAAGACGGCGTTTTTACATGCTGAGTTGAAAGAAACTGTATATATGCAACAGCCAGTTAGTTACAACGACAACAGTGATCGTGTTTGTAAACTCATCAAAAGTTTATATGGGCTTAAACAGGCGTCGCGCTGTTTGAATCAAAAGTTTACATTATTTATTCGTCAATTTCATTTCACAGTAAGTAGTTATGATCCATGTATGTTTATTCGTCGCAATAAAAGAGGGATGGCCGTTTTGGCTCTTTACGTCGACGATGGATAGTCACGAACAGTGCTGAAAAAATTGATTCAATAATTTCATATTTACAGAAGCTCAATTTTCCATTTTTTAGTCCAACTAATAATTTGATCAATGGAATGTTGCGTTGCTTCTGTTAATTCGTTTATGGTGTTTCCAGTGGTAAGGATCGCTGTATTATCTGCAAACGTGGCAATAACACTTTCTGGTGGGACTTGCAGGTCAGCTGTGTAAATCGCAGAGTGAATGGGCCAGTCCATTGAACATGGTCGAAAAAAAGAATGCAACTTGGCGACCTTGTGGTGACTATCGACGTCTTAATGCGCAGACAATAACTGATCAGTGAAATGTTGTGCAATATTTCACGCAGACATTTAGCGATAAGTGTATATTTACAACACTGAACTTAGAAAGGGCATATTATAATATACCGATTGCCCCAAGGATAGGGAAAAAACATCGCTACTCCATTTGGCTTATTCAAATTTAATGTTACGACCTTTGGACTCTGCAATGCTGCCCAAACCTTCTAACGTCACATGGACCAAGTACTTAGAGGACTCGACTTGGTGATTTCTTACATTGATGACATCTGTATCGCTTCATCAAATGAATCAGAACATTACCAACACATGCGCATAGTATTCGAGCGACTTCAACAGTACGGACTTAAGCAGAACGTTTCAAAATGCGTCTTTGGTCAACAAGAAATAACGTTTCTCTGTCATACCATCAACTAACAAGGCATACGCCCATCAAAGAAGAGAGTAGAAGCAATACTTAACTTCCCAAAACCAAACACGGTTCAGGAATTCAGACGATTTCCAGCTACGGTTAATTTCTATCAATGTTTCATACCTGGTGCGGTCGCAACTCAAAATACATTGCAAAAACTTTTAAAAATAAATAAAAAGAATGATAAAAATCAATTGGAATGGACAGAAGACGCAAAATTGGCCTTTGTTACATACAAAAAAGCACTCGCAGATGCAAGTACATTAGAACATCCAACCACAGATGGTAAACTGGTACTCTACGTCCATGCAAGCAACTCAGCAGTAGGTGCAGCACTACACCACATATGCAATGGACAGATCGAACCTCTCGGTTTTTATTCAAAGCGTCTAACCGAGACTCAAAAACGATAAAGCACTATGATAGAGAATTGCTTGCCAATTACCAAGTTATTAAACAGTTTGTGCACATGATCGAAGGTAGAAAATGAATAGTTTTGAAGGACCACAAGTCTATTATTTTTGCGTTCCAACAGAAATCTGAAAAGGTATCTCCAAGGCAGTTAAGGCACCTGGATTTCATAAGGCAGTTCACGACAGACATACAACACATCGCCGGAAAAAATAACAACGTAGCAGATTTACTTTCACGTATTGAAGAAATAAATGACTGCTAATAGATCGATTTCAACAAGTTTGCTGAGAGCCAGAAAGACGCTGAATTAAAAAACTTGTTAACTAAAAATCAGACATCGTTGGAACTCAAGTGGATCAGCATGCCAAACTCTATGAATCCAATTGCATGCGATGTGTCAACTCACGGAGCACGTCCCTGGGTTCTTCAAGGACATGGACAGTAAGTTTTCCGGGAGATACACAATCTGGGACATCCAGGAAGTAAATCATCGATCAAACAAATATGTGAGCGTTTCGTTTGGTATCCAGGTATCCAGATATAATAAAACAATAATTGGTAGTTTCAAGCTACCAGAGCAACGATATTCCTTTCTATATATCGATATCACAGAGCCATCACCAATGTCAAATGGATTCAACTACTGTTTAACGGTTATTGATCGCTTTACCAGATGGCCAGTTGCTATCCCTATGGCCGATATTAATGCAAGCACAGTAGCGGAAACATTACTGGAGGGTTGGATTGCACATTACGACGTGCCGTCTGAAATAATGACCGACCAAAGTCGACAATTCGAGACAAAATTATTCAATGAACTCAAGAGGCTAATTGGCACAAAACACCTTAGAACAAGTCCATATCATCCACAAGCAAATGGAATTGTCGAACGTTTTCACCGCACATTTAAAACAGCTTTAAAGTGCCGATCCAAGCAAAAGTAGACGGATGAACTACCAGTAGTGCTACTCGCACTGAGAAACGCATACAAAAACGACATCAAGGCGACTCCTTCAGAAATGGTTTATAGCATGACACTTACATTACCAGGTGAATTTTTCGAAAGACATGTCAAATTCGGAATTCGTATAATCACTACAATTCGTAGTGATCAACTAACTAAGACCAGTACCTACGACAAATCACTCTATATCAAAAACATTTGTACAACCGTATCTTAAAAAATGTGATCATGTTTATCTACGCGATGACACTATTCGACCACCTCTCAAAGCATCTTACGATGGATCATTTAAGGTAACCGATCGCGACGATAAGCTGATGACCATTATACGGAAAGACAAACCAGTACGTGTAAGTATAGATCGGGTCAAAGTTGCCTATCTCTGCGATGACGAGCAAAAATCAAATCAACATCAGACAGCACGACATTCTTGTGCTCATCGAAAAGCAGACGAAAATAACCAGAAGCATCATACAAAAAGAAGTCAAACATCGTCTTGCGGCAGCCGAATTTGGTTGCCAGTTCGATTTGCTGAGAATGTTTAATAAGTGGCATAGGATCACTAATTATATCGTGACATTGCTTCACTCAGCCACTGGAGAGGGAGTGGTGTGGCTCACGAGTCTTTCAACTTCAAACGCAATTTTAGTTTGAAGATCTCGTTTGAAAATTGCACTTAAGGCAATTCCCTATTTCTCGCCAAGCATTAACATACCTATACAACCATTTAATGCAATTTTTTTATAAGTGAACCTGGTATTTCTTTTCCATTTTAAGTTTTTCTACTTATAATTTAATTGTAATGTTTTACCTGATAAGCGTCCAAATTTTTTTAGTTAAATCATGATTAAGTAAGTCTCTATATGATTTAGTAAATAAGACATCATTTTCTTGTTTTTCCAAAATAAACCAAAATTGATCATACTTTAAAGTTATGTGAGTATTTCATGCTTTCTGATATTAGTGTTTAAAAGATTTCAGCTTTAATTCCATGTTAATATATTTTATTTTTTTTAGCTAAATGTCATATAACAGTAAATTTATAGTACATGTTTTAGATTTAAATCTTTAATATTTTCCATTATTTAATGAACCAAAACCCTTCATTTTACAGGAAAACCTACATTCACCTGAAATATTTGTTACGTCATTGGAAAGTGTTACAAGTTCTGTTATCGGCGCTCTATATGGTGTTGTTAAAGTTAATGATAAAGATATTGGTCGAAATGGAGTCATTAAAATAATGGAAATTGTGAACGGCGATCCAGAAAATGTATTTCAAATTGTACCAACTTCTAACAAACATGAATTTTATATTAAAGTAAGCAAATATGCTACATTACCAAAACCACCATTTACATATAATCTTACAATTCGAGCAGAAGATGATGGAATACTTTCTCGACAAACTTTCAAAAATATTTTAGTTCCAATTTTTTCAGTTGAGGAAAATTTGCCAGTATTTACAAAAGAAATTTATGAAGTGTCAATTCCAGAAACCTCTCCACCATCAATGCCAATTATACGATTAAAAGTTATGGAACCGTTTTATCAAAAAAATTATGTAATATCTCTAACTATAATTGGTGGAAATGAAGACAATACTTTCAAAATTAATCCGGACTCTGGAATGTTGTACACACAAAAATGCTTAGATGCTGAAAAAAGATCTCTTTATACGCTCATTATATCCGCCATATATCAGACAAATTTAAGACCTACAAAGCAGTCTTCTGCAAAAGTAAAAATTAATGTAGAAGATATGAATGACAACGATCCTGTGTTTGAGCATATTAATCGTACAATATTTATTAGAGAAAATGAACCAGCGGGAACAGCTGTAGTAAAACTTATTGCGAGAGATAGGGATAGTGGGGAAAATTCATATATTTCCTACAGTATAACTAATTTTGATGATGTTCCATTTGAAATTGATCATTTCACTGGAATAATAAAATTAACTAAATTGATTGATTACGAAACAATGCGTAGAGTTTATATTTTGAATGTACGAGCCTCAGATTGGGGCTTGCCTTATCGTCGCCAAACAGAAGAAGAACTTGTAATTACAGTAACAGATATAAATGATAATAGACCACAATTTGAAAAAATTAACTGTACAGGAGTTATACAACAAAATACCCCTATTGGCACTGCTATATTTACTATATCCGCTATTGACTTTGATTATGGAGACTTAATTACTTATGGAATTATATCTGGTAGTGAAGACTCATGCTTTAATGTTGAGCCTACTACTGGGGTATTATCTGTTGGGTGTGACTTAACAGATGTTCAACTAAGATATCGTCAAATAATAGTATCTGCATCAGATGGAGCCCATGTTTCGAACGAAATGATACTAACTGTAACACTAACTAAAACCTTTTCAATTAATTATTTTAACTATTATAGCAATATTGAATGTATAGAAACAGGTGTTGCTAACAGATTAGCTGAAATAATAACATATGGTAAAAGAAGTAATACTAATTACAGTCACCAAACATCTAAATATCTATCATTATCACCAAGTAGATATGGCGAAAATATTCATTCACCTGAATTTGTTAAGTTTCCACAGAAAATATTAATAAATGAAAATTTAGCATTAGGTGAAGTTGTAATAAAAATTCAAGCAAACGATAGAGATTTGGGATACAATGGAAAACTAGTGTTTGCTATTTTAGATGGAGACTATGATTCTGTATTTAGAATAGATCAAGATACGGGTGAAATTCAAATTATAGGATATTTAGATCGAGAAAGGCAGGATGAGTATTTACTTAATATAACTGTATTCGACATGGGTTCGCCTAAAAAGTGTACTTCAAAAATTCTTATTGTTTCTATATTAGACAATAATGATAACCAACCGATGTTTCAAAAGTATCATATTACATTGCAGCTTTCGGAAACTATCCTGAACGACTCTGAAGTTATTTGTCTTAATGCTTCTGATACTGATATAGGAAAAAATTCTATCATAAAATATTTTATAGTACCCACAACTAAGGACTTCCAAATTAATGAAAAAACTGGATGCGTATACACGAATAATCCATTAGATAGAGAAATACAAGAAAAATATGAGTTGCATGTTATTGCAAAAGATGGAGGAATACCAACATTATCTTCTGAAGCTTTAATAAAAATATTTATTCAAGATGTAAATGACAACTCCCCAATTTTTGGAGTTCAGGAATTGTTATTTAAAGTTAGGGAAGACATTCCGAAAGGAACTGTAATTGGGTTAATTGAAGCAAATGATTTTGATGCTGGATTAAATGGAGATATATATTACTATTTAAAACATGAAAATGTAAATGAGAAAGACTTGTTTAGCATCGATAAATTAACTGGTGTTATACGAACTATTAACTATTTAGACTATGAATCTCGCCAAATTCATAACCTTGTAGTTAGCGCTACTGACCTAGGTTCACCACCATTAACTACACATATCGCTGTTGTGGTAGAAGTTATTGATATAAATGAAAATCGGTTTTCTCCAGAATTTGATGATTTTGTTTTTAATTTCAATGCAAAAGAAGATGCACCTAGAGGAACCATAATTGCTAATATTACTGCAAAGGACTTGGACACTAGTGATTCTGATTCAAAAATCTCATATTCTATTCGAGGTGGCAATGGAATAGGAGTTTTTGCTGTTAACGACCAAGGTAAGTTCAGTAAATAATATTTTTTAAGTTTGTACTAAAAAGGAAAACAATGTGTTCATGATTTCATCGTATTCAATATAAAAAATTTAATTTACAAAATATTTTCTGTAAAAGTTACATTAAAAATATAAACTGTTTTCAAATTGACTAAATTTGACTTACTTTTTCATGTTTTAGTTAAAATCATTTTTTAATCTCAAAAATTATTTAATAAGGTGTTTTTCACAATTTCATTGTCAAGTGGTTTGGATGAACATCTCGTTTCATTTGGCAGAGTTTAGCTATAATTTGTCGAAGACGCTGAAATAGCTTAACGAATTTTTTTGCGGCAAATTATGCCGAAGTTGCCAAGTTAATTGAGTGTTAGCAGGTGTCACAAAAATACTTCTCATCTTGCGGTGAAGATATGGGACTACGGTTTAATGATCTTTTGGTTCGAAATCGGATTATCAATAGTTTAGAAGACAAATTAAAATATACATTCAACGCAGAACTATTATTTCAAAAAGTATTGAGTTCAGCTACTTATTTTAATGAACGAAAATTAAGTCGAAGGGAGATTGTATAATTGCATAATTCAAACACTCGCATTTGTTTTCTACTCCTTCATATTTCAACATCCGATATGTGATTGTTACAGAAATACCTATTATTATCATTATTTCCTATTATAACCAAACTAATACAATTATTTTCCTGTGCTTTAATTTCTGAAATCTACTATATATAATTGTTAAATAAAATTACACAAATTTAATTAGTAAGAAGAATATGCTCACTTTAATAAGGGCAATACAATTGCTTACAAATTGGAGATCTGTAAAAATAAAAACGACAAGAAAAAAAAATTCAAAACGAAACTCCCCACTATTGTTGAAAATAACGTACTGGCTTACTGGTTATATGGTCATCTCTTTACTGTTGCGGAGATTTTCGTAGCTTATAAAGAATTCTAGCTTTAGCTTATCTGCGGAAAATGTTATATGCTTGTCTCCCATACTAATCACATAGTTCTGTCAATAACAGCACCAGAACTTTAACGGATTTCTGAATAATATTTCTGTTGGATTTTCGTTAATATCTGAGTTCCAGTAATTCTAACAAAAAAGGACTGAGTTCAGTCATTTGATCCTTTTGGCTCTTTTCCAGCGTTCGTTGGAATCATTTCACAATGCTCGTTTGTGGATGAAAGACAATCGTATGCATGGGTGTGAATCTTCGTTTATTCCCGAGACATAGTGCATTCGAACTGACGTCCCAGATTGGTCATTATTGAGTATAAGGAATCAAAATTTGTGAACCAGTCATTGTTGAATAATAGTGCTTTTTGCTTCGCAGAAATAATTATTAAAGGCCGTTATACATTAAAATCGATTGATGGACTGAGGGCGCAAAGCTTGCTACACGAAAATGGTTTGAGAATAACTGTAGTGGTATGGTATGAGTATTTCACACCCTAAATTTATTTATTCTACCTCATATAATTGTTGAGATATTTAAAATATCAAAAGCACTCAATTTTGACTCAATTTTTCAAATAAGTCGAATGAAGTTACAATCGTATTTTTAGGAATACCAGCAGCACCTATTTGTATCTAAGTAGAATTTCTATAAGTTAATTCTAGAAAAAACAGGATTCACATTCAATATGGATATGATATCTTGTATGTATGAAAGGGGATTTCGGTTAAGCTTCAGCCACAGCTGACATGGCTGCTAACTTTCATTGCTTTCACAAACCAAGTGTAATGCACTGGCTCAACGTCTCTTTGTGTTGTAGCTTTCTCCATTTCTCCGGGTTCTCTTTTATTAAGTGGTGTGAACATGTGAATACTGATGCACCAATAGTCTCGATGTAGTGCTTTACAGTTTTACCGTAGACCATTAATTGGCTTTTGTAATCCACCAACCGTTAGCACTTGAGATTCATTACCAGGGTGTCACATCTGAGAAAACCTGTATTTCAATGGAATAGCTAACATCTGCGACTACATAAGTTCATTGAAATTCTCTGTGCTAATCCTTAGAAGTTACTATACATGATTATTGTTTAATATGCCAGTAATAATATAATAGATAAAGTAATGACCACGCATCAGTTCCAAGGTTTAAAACTCTATTAAAACTTATTAACATTGTTCATCAATTCATAAAATTTGCATACAATTTTCAAAACAACAACCAATAAAATAGAAATATAGCTAATAAAGCTCATTGCTGCAGAAACAGATCACAAAGAAAACTTTGACGCATATTCTTTTTTAGACACGTTTCAATTGAATTTTTTACCATTTTACAAGTTATTTGGCGTTGTTAATTTCAGTTATTATAATAACAACACAGTTATAGCATTGACAGACGAGCACACTAAATTATCATTAAGCAGCCTTAAATGATAATTTTAAAAATACTCTGACAGACGGTATAAATTGTCATTAAGAAGTTGCTGTATCATATGTTTTTTGTTATTGAAAAAGCAAAAGAAAGAATTTTAAATTCAAAATGGATAAGCAAGAAAAATTAAAGAAACTTGCTTTAATTAAATATAAAATATATATAAAAAATATAAAATATATAAAAATATATCGAGTATTTACATTTACCAATGTTTCCAAATATGTTATTTAAAACTGCTAAATGAGCAAATAAATTATAATTTAGCCCCTTAATGATAATTTAGCTCCCGTCTGTCAATGCTATTAAATTTTGAAACGTAAAACATGTCAGCAGCTTCCAATAAATAGAAATAAAATACATACCAATAATATACCAAATACAAAATTACGCCAGCAAAATTCAGATTTAACCATGATTATTACCTAAGAAAAGTTAAGTGACACTAAATTTATTTAATTGTTTTAATGATTTTGCTAGCTAGTCACACTGTCATTTAGTAATAAGTCACATTTTTTTTTATATTTTGTGTTTATGCCAGTTAAGTCACCAGTCATGGATCATCGAAAAATGCAGTTATGCATTGTCAGTTTTTTTTTGTTGATTATTGGATTTAAGAAAGTATTTAATGTTTCACGACCTATTATATCAGTATTTGAATAATACATGATTTAATTTTTTAAAAAACTAACTCTTGTATGTAAACCAGAATTTATTTATTTCAAAGAAGTACAGAATGAACTATCATTGTGTTATAATAATTTCCTCCTCTCTGTGATTAGTTGATATTACAAGTGGTCAAACTAATCGATATATAGTGATTTCGGATAAAACTACTCAAATCATTCATCGTAATTAAGATCATGGATCTGAGTTAATATCATGTAACATAAACAATAGTTTTTGAAGAAACTCAATGAAGAGAAATTGTAATTTTTTCATTTAAATATATTATCTTTTCAGGTTCTATTTATATCGTATCACATTTGGATGCTGAAACAATATATAGCTATTGGATTACATTATGTGCTCAAGATCATGGAATAGTTTCATTAAGCAGTTGTGTACAGGTAATGTAAATTTATGTTAACTCTATTCAACTAACCACCAAGATTTTTCTGTAGGTTTATGTGTTTATCGAAAATGTGAATGACAATGTGCCATTAACTGACATGCCGGTGTATTTTACAACGGTTTTAGAAAGAAGCCAACCATATACAAAAATTATACAATTACAAGCTCTAGATGCAGATAATGATCCGTCCTCAGTAATAACTTATAAAATTGTTTCTGGCAACTCTGAGAAATTCTTCCTCATAAATGCGACAACAGGTATAATTTTTTACAAATTTTTTTTGACATAAATTAATAATATTTATGAGTAACAAAAAATGTATGTAATATTGAAGTCTTACAAGCCAATTCTAGCAAAGATTGCCAGAAGTTTTCCATAAGATCTTTGTATGATCGCCAGAAAGACGATTTGCTACTCTTTTAAGAAGAATCATCATTTGTAATTCGTGGTATAAAGCTGTGTGTTATTATTTCTATCATTGTGAAATCAATAACAGCTGTTAATTCAAGTAAACAGTTGAATATTGATACAAAAGTGATGCAAAACAGCAAGATGTGTTTTC